GGCTCTAATTCTCTGAAGAGAAAGGTGAAGAATCCATTGCTTGTAGGTTGGGATAGTCATGACTCATTGGTGAGGAACCACCAATCCACAGTTACCACCACAGAGCATTTCAATAAGTGTTCTGTATTTTAAAGGACTTTAAATTGTTATTATTATTATTTACCTGTCTAAAACAAAACTGCACTCCGAACTTTCCTCAGTAATGGGGGGTGAGGGAGAGTAAGGTTGTGTAGGAAGCATCTCAGTAATGCCTAGAACTGCGATTTAAGACACCAGATGCCATCTTCTTTGCTCATGATTCCTAGAGATTCAAAATATAATCTCTTTCTCTCTCTCTTTTCCCCATCCCTCTCTCTTTCTTCCTCTCTCCCCCGTTCTCTCTCTCTCTCTCTCTCTCTCTCTCACACACACACACACACACACACACACAAGAGGTCAAGACATGCAATGTCTGTTTTAGCCGATTTTCACCTCCACCTTGGTACAATCAAGACGGCAGATAGGCGGGGGCTGGAGGTGGCTGAAAGGGCAGGGATGGTGGTGGAATCTGGGAGGAGGCGACATTCATGTCAGGTGGCGGTCCCAGGCAGTGTCCATGGGCCCGGGGGAGGAGGGGACAAGGGATCATGTCCCAAGCCCAGACCCCTGCACTAGGGGGAGGGATCCGCTGTCCCGTGGGCCTCGCTTAGGCTCCTGGGGCACCTTTCCGCAATGGCTGGCGTGGAAGCGAGAGGGGGCCTAGTTTTTCGGTGCCAGGTTGCGAATACAGCCGGCTCCGCGCCGAGGCTGGGCGGCGCGGCCCGGATGCTGAGAACCCCGCACGCTCAGCTAGGGACGCAGGGCGGCTTCGCAGCTGGAGGCCGGGAGAGAGGATATACCCAGTCTGCGGAGGCTGCCCTCGGGGGATGGTTGCGAAGGGAGGAACGAAAAATAAATCTAAATCAAACGACAGAGCCGTCCCGCCCCTCTCTGCTTGGTCCCTGCGGGCGGCGCCAGTAGTCCCGCAGCCTCCCTACCGCCCGCGCCCCAGCGCCCAGAGGGCGCCGAATTGGGCCTGGCGGGCCAGGACTGCGCCTCTGCGCGGGTCCCAGGAGCGCTGTTCGCCGGCCCGCCCCGCCCGGCCGGGCCCCTCCGGCGGGATAGAGCCCTGCTTTGCTCTTTTCGTTGGCCAAGCACAATTGTGTTATTGGAGATAATGAATTCAATCCCCATCAAAGGGCATTAGGCTCGCCCGGGCCCAGGAGTTGCTGATGCTTTTTTTTTTTTTTTTTTTTTCAAACCAGGAATGAAAGAGGGGAAAAAAAATTCTCTGGGGGAGCCTTTTCCCTGATCGCTGCTTTTGAAGTGAAGGGGCCTGGGCATTGTTGTTCACCTCGCGGCCCATACGGCTGAAGAAAGCCCGGGCTTTTGATGGGCTGAGAACCGCCTCGGCAATGAGCACCACGTCGGGCAGCGCGGCCTGCGGGCAGCATATGTCTTGAGGCACACGGGCACCGTCTGGCGGGCCAGGGTCCAGCGGGGAGGGGGCTCGGCCCGAGAGGCCGGGACTGGAGACCCGGCGAGCACCCAGCGGCGGGGACCTTTGGGCTTCAGGCCTCGGGGCAGGTCTGCAGTTCCTCCCGCCTACCTGGCGTAGCGCAGGGGATCCACCTGTGTGGCTGATGAGTGAAGACCTCCGACTGGGAGGGCGCAAAACCCTTTGGGGGTGAGGGTGGGGAAAGGTGGTTTCTCCCTGATGGCAGGGAACGGGCTGGTCTTTATTTTTAAGCACTGGGGACCCAGCATCTAAGGTGGCTGGCTCGGCTAGAGCTTAATGAGTCTGCGACCCCGAAGGTGTGCACTCCGCGAGGGGCCTTCGTGCAACACGCAGTTAGGACTTTTCACCTGTGACTCTGCACACAGCACAGCGCGGCGGAGCTCCCGGCCGCGGGAGTGGGGTGGGGGAAGCAGACACTCAGCTGCAGGCGCGCAGCCCGCTCCGCCGGAGGGGCAGTTTCCGGAGCGTCCGCGGTGTCTGGCTGCGCGCAGTTTGTGCCCAGGACCGCGCACTGGCATCAGGTCACCTTTTCTAAAACTTGTTTCAGGCATTTAAGTTTACTTTCAGTGTTCCCAATGTGAACTTTCCCCACCTCGATTCGCTCCCCCATCCCCGGTCAGCCCAAGGGCTCTTTGGCCCAAGGGTCAGCAACCAGAGCTGTTCGGTTCCCTTCCCTGCCCTCCCCATCTCCAATCCCCTCCTCCCCTCCGCGAAGGATCCGGGTTATCCGCCCCATTAATATATTAGCCAGGCATGACACAAAGGAAGCGCGTGTCAGCAGAAGGCGGTGTGACTCCAGGGAGAGGCGAGGAAACCTGGACGAGGCCCTGCGCTACAACACGGCTCATTGCAGCTTGAGTTCCTCAATTGGCCTCCACCAACGAAAAGCGGTGGAGGACGCAGCGGGCGTTGGTGCCCAGGGTTGAGCCGCAATTGGTTTACGAGTGTATAGGTGGACTGCGGTAGTGAGGCACAAAGCCCCTCAGGTGGGATCCAGAGCTAGGGGAACGTTCCAATAATATCCCAATCACCTGAATCAGGCAAAGAAATTCCGCTCTCCTGGAGCACGGGACTAGGCGGGCGCCTTCTTCCTCCCTCGGGCATAATGGACGCTTTAAATATACAAAGGATACAAACCGCCGCAAAGCCCCTTACAGTCTTTTCATTAATTGTTTGTGTTTTAAAACAATCCTTTAGTGTAAGAGAGAGAAACCAAAAAACTGACCCGGGATATGAGCGGGCAAGCAAAAGAGTAACAAATGTACTCCTTTTCAAAGGTGTGTGTGGAGGGGAGGGGGAGGACTAAGGAGGTTTCCAATTTAATTCATTGTTCCGTATTTCCAGGCAATGCTTTGGGGGGAATTTCCAGGTTGTTTTTTTCTTGCTTTCAGAAATTAAAAAAAAGAAAAAGCCCCTGATTTGTAATCTTGAACGGGTGTTAAGAGACGTAAAAAGTCAAACCAAGGCAACCTCACACCTAAATTCTGAGTCAGGCCTGCCGTGAGTGTCACTGGCCTGGTTCTTAACTTGATTTCGCTAGTGACTTGACCTGCATTCCACCTGGATTCTGATGTGTTCCAGCACGATTCTACTTAAGCCCGTTCCTTACCGGATTTTGAGGGAGAATATCTTGCCTCTGTCCTGTAGGTTGACTGGAACATAGAGAACCCCAAAAGATTACGGAGTGGCACCTGGAAGAAGGAGGGCTCCTTATTTCCTGGGGCTGCAAGGGGGAGGAGCACTCACTCTCACCATGCGCTTTGCTCTTACATTGTAGTCACAGCTAACGTAATTGAAGAAATAAGGAAGTTAAATAGAAAAAGAAAGGTGGCAAGTGAGGATTTCCCCCTTGTCAGGTGTTTTAAAATGTTTATAATAGGAAAATGCATGCATTTTACAAGTTAAAATTGAACGACATGGGTATTTTCCAGTCCCGTATTGCTTTGTAAAATGATGGTGGAGAACAAAAAGCTGAGGGCTGCACTCCCAGTTGGCCAAAGTTCAAAGAACCACGCTGGGCTGGGGCTAAAAAGGGAAAAGCCAGTGGGGCTGTTATCCCCCAAACTTAACTATTTGGAAGAAAAAAACAGAAGATTTAAGGTAATCTGTTGTTAAAAGTTATTTGGATACACTAAATAACGTCGTGGATGAAAATAAAACATAAGTGGCTACTTTAAAAAATCCTTTACCTTGCCAAATAGATTCTATTTATAAACAGGAATATTGTGAAATCTTCACGTTTTTTCATTTTCTTACATTTTTACTCTCATGAGAATCTGTTGATTCTAACGATTCTTTTACTTTGAGAAAATTTTGTTTTTCAGTTTCAGCATAATTTGAATACCTATTTAGTTCTAGGTATATTTAAAACAATCACCTTTTTGCATATAACTATCTTGGAGTAATTAGGCATGTTCTTAACTCCATTTGGTTGCAAAGCACACTTTATTACAATTATTTAATTTTTGAAGGCAAAATATTTTTTACAAATGTATAAAATGTCTATTAATTATTTAAGCAATTTTATTTTTCAACAATTTTTTTCCTCTTGACATTGAGGTATCACATTAAAATACATGATAGCTAAATGTTCTACAATATTACTGCTAAATCAACAGAAAGCCAATTGATCTTGAGGAAAGGTTAATTAATTTGGGCTACAGGTCTCCTACTTTGGCTCGCATTGAAAGGAATTTGTATTGATCTCAGCAATTTTTTGCAAAAAAACTTAATAAGCATGTTTGTGGAATTGAGACCAATTTTTCAAAATGCCAAAACAAGGGCTTACATTTTTATCACTTCAAGACTCCTCTTCTGTCATGGCTCATTCAAATCTGTTAGAATTCTGAGAAAAATAATGTGTTTTATACTTTCAGTGAAATCAATCAGGTATCTAGCCTTCAGAAAATGAAAACAGAGGTTAGGAGCTTTAGTAGGATCTTGTTTGTTTTAATCCCTCCTTCCCTAATAATTCTTACCAGTTTATTCTGTATGAGGGGGATCACAAAGGGACGATGGAAATTAAATTTTGTCTTTGATTTAAACACAGTATTAGTCATCATGTAGAAAATGGACAGAGCTTCCTTTCGCTTGTGAACACTTGAGAGTTGTTTAATTTTTGCTGAATAGAACCGATGAGCTTTTCTTCTTCCCTATCTTTGGTTCTCTTTTTATCATCTTAAAAATGTTTCAGACCTGTGCTTCCTAAACGCAAGGTGAGAGTAACAATTGCAGCTCCCCTCCCCTGTCCTATACTCACTCCCAAAGTTTTTTTTTTCTCCTTTTTTTCTAGAAGTGTTTTCTCGGTGGCGTTGGTGGGTCCGAGTGCCTCTGGAGCTGTACACTTGGGTCAGGAGGAATGCTTTCCCTCCTCGCCCCTCCCCGCCCCCTCCCTCCCCTCTCCGAGGACCCCTCCCCCATCTCGGGCGAAATTCCTGAATCCTGCGAGCGGGGCACTGCGGCGGGGCAGTCAGCAGGCCCTTTCCGGCCCTGGTCTTCAGGAGCTGGCGAGGTGAAGAAATGTGGAAACACCGAGACGAAAAGTGGATGGGGTGGGTGGTCGCAGAAAGGCAGCGCTCTCGGGAGGGTACCCGCACTCCCTCGGAACCACAGATGTTTTCCTCCTGTCCCAGGGCCGCGGCGCCCCGGCCCGGGCGCCCGAGCGTTTGTGTGTTCGGGTTTCCGAGGAAGGGATTACGCAGCGGGAGAAGCCGCGCCAACGCGGGCCGCGGGGGCCGCTGGAGCCGTAACGAGGCGGCTGGCCTTCTTTGTTGACTTTTAGGTCCCGGGCTCAACAGGAGATTTATTCGCTAGGAGGGGAAAATGCCCAAACAATGAAGAACTAACTGCGCTTGTCACCTCGAGATGCTTGCTGTCCTGCTCTGTCCGCCTTCCCTGGCAACCAGCTGTCCTGGATGCCAACCCGCGCGCGTCCTAACGCGCGGGCGGCAGGTCGCATCGCCCAGAGGTGGCGGAGTGTGAGATCCGAGAACCGCGAGAAGCCCACGAGGTAGGGCTGAGCCTGCAGGCTCCCCGCAACCCAGCTCCTGAGGCAGGCCTCCAAAGTACCCCCTTCCCCGCATAACTAGAAAAAGTCTCCGGCAAGTAAGAGAGCAAGAGCTAAGGCTAACTTAAGCTTTATGGGGTGAGGGCAAGGCGCTGATGTTTCTATTACGTTGAAAAGGAGAAACAGGACAGCACAGAAGTTAAACATCTTAGATTCAGTGGGGGCGGGATTCCCAGGCCCAAGCCCACGCCTTTATATTACATTTGGAAGCTGAATTTGCCAACGTTTGTTTACCTTATGTAAATATGAGTAACTGTTGGGATTGGAAGCTTTTTCCTCTCTTGGGGACTTTAATGTCCTTCCGAGGCCTCCAAGACAGGGTTTGAAATTACTCAAGCTAGTAATTTCCCTCCTCTCCTCCTTTCATTAGTTGAAGTGAGCTGGGGTGTGGGATTTCTAGATTTTTCTCAAGTGCTACATGGCACCCTTTCTCTCATCTGGGGAGGCAATTACGCTATAATTAAGGGACTCACACAGCTCTTTTTATCTTGTCCCCGGTGTGGAGTGGGGCGATCAAAGTAAAGGCTGTCCAAGTTCAAGCCCTGGTGAGGATGGAGTTCATACACAAGGGCTCAGGCAGGCCGGCCTCCGCTTGAGCTGGTGTTGTTATTGTTGATGTCAATCCGAACAAGACTTACAAAGAAATAGGTGGACTGGAAAGTGAGCCTGCTATCAAAGGAGATTAATCATTTTGTGATCCCAAGCAACTATGGGGTGTGAAGTTGCATTTAAAAGCCCTTAGAAGGCAAACAAATAATCAACTTTAAGTACTTAGGAACGATATTTTTGAATAAAAATGTAAAAAATATCTTCACAAAATGCAAAATAGCGGCCAACCTAAATTGTCTTGTCGGCACAACGCTGCCCCTGCCAGAGCGAATTAACTTCCCTCCTCCCACCTCCTCTGGAGCTACCCTGATGGCTAAGTTTTGTTTCTCTTTTAATGAGAAGAGGGTTCAGGAGTCTCTGTTGGAGACAACTTAATTCTATCAGCCACAGCTGATATTTTATTTTCATTGGAAGAATTCTCAGATAATGGAAAGTGATACATTGGGGAAGGAGGAAAGGTAGTTAAATTAATATTTGATTTTGTAGTGGAAAGGCTCAAAGGAAACACAGAAGGCTTAAGCCGGTGTGAGAAAAAAAATGAAGTAAACATCACTGGGAACAAAGAATCATAAAAATCTCAATTCTTGGAGTATTAATTCAATTTATGCACTTTACTTGAATTTCTTTCAGTGCTTTTTACTAGCTACACATTCATTAAAATCACAGACAAAACAATTTTGTTTTTGTCATTATATTCAGTTCTAGAATTTGAAAAATATCGTATTTAGAATATCCACTTCGGATTTAGTTAAGAGAAATAACAGAAATCCTCTTTTGTTACCATTTGATTTATTTAAAGTCCTTAACTGCAAATGATCAAGAACATTTTCCACGGCTTAAAATCTCGTATTATTTTTGTTATTTAAATCAAAATACTTTTAATTACAATCACATTGATAAAAATTAACATTTTAATTTGTAATTTTAACCATCATTTAAAGCAATTTCAGCTGTAAAGGAAAAGAATAAACCATGCAATAAATTAACATTGAGAAAGCAAAAAGAAATAATAATGAAACCCGTCTGGCTATACTAACACCATGTCCAACTGTGGAAAGTGCATTAACACTGGATGAAACAAGCACATGATAGCAATGATTAAAATGGCCACAATCAATAGGATTTTGGAATCTTGGACCACGTTTTGAAATCCGGCTCCCTATAACTTCTCTCTCCTCCAACATCATAATATTCAATTTTTCTGGAAAAAAATATTCTTTAAATGGTATACAATCATAGAAGCTAATTTTATACGTTATGTGACCTCAGAATGACATGACCATGGCACTCTGCAAAGCAAGAAGCAGAGTTCTGGAGGGCAATTCCTGAGGAACTGATTCCCAGGGCAGTCTGTGGGTAGAGAGGACAAAGGGGTTGGGGTCCTTGTAACTTTTCGGTCAAGTAACTCTTGAGAATGCATCATGTATATCACCTATCTATTACCTCTATATGTTGTGTAAATATACGAAGGATGTCTACATATCTGAGCATGTGCATAATCAAGTCCATACACAATATATATGTATTTCATTTAAAGACATCTGCTCTCTGCATGTATCAGAAATGTAAACTGAAAAGCAAATGGCTCTGATGTTTATAATCTGTTTATATCTTGCTACATAACAGCAGTATTGTCTTTCAATACTTTTACGAGCCTCTAGTGTATACGTGTTTCTTCACCATTTCAATTCTTATGGTTAAGAGTATTGCCACAGACCTGTAAACTCGTAGGGGGTCAGGTAAGGAGGGGGAAAAATCACAAACAAATATTTTACAAACTTGACCATCTTCCTTTTTTGTTTTTTTTAAATAACCCTGCACAGACTAGAATGTTGTCTGGAGGGGAAAGAGGGAAGAAAGAGGGGGGCAAGGAAGGAGGAGAATTTCATATATACACATGTGGATCATTAAACTTCCCAGGAAAAAAATTGTTGGTTTGGGGTTGTCTTTGTAGTAATATACACAATGAGTTTTCAATACAATAATAAAGTAACAGTCTTTTGCACTGGGGGAAAGGTTGTGCATGAAAAATGAAATAAAAATAGTTGTTGGGATTTTATTATGCTGTTGTCGGTTTGGTTTGTGTTTTGTTTGCTGTTGAATTTTTTCATTCTTGCTACCAGCATGGCCATGCCAGACAAACCCCCCAGTCCCGGGGTGTTAGGAAGTATTTAGGACAGGTCTGGAATACACACCTTGGTAGTATGCCGGCTCCAGGGCTGAGGGCTCGATGGGGCTCCTGGTGGTCACTGAGGCGCTGCCAAGAGGCAGGCTGGCGGGCAACGTAGAGCCGTAAGGCGAGTACTGCAGTGCCTGCTCGTATGCCTTGAAGTCCAGCTTGTGCTGCTGCTCCGAGGAGGACATGAGGTTGTTGATGGAGAATGGGTGGTTAAAAGAGTAGTGGGGGTCCCCTTTCAGGTGCAGCTGGGACTCGTGGGGTGCCAGGCCGTGTGCTGGGTGAGAGGGGGGCACAGAGGCCAGCGCCCCGGGCCCGGAGCTTATGGGGGGTGCAGATGAGGAGGTTGGAGTCTTCAACTCCGAGGCGCCCCCTGTCGCAGTCGCCCCACTGTGGTCCAGAGTCTGGGGGCTGGTGTCGGGCCCAGGGGCCGGCGCGCCCTCTAGCTGGCCAGCCTTCCCGTGCATGCCCCGGTGGAGAGGTGAGTGGGCGCTGGGGTTAGCGGCGCCGGAGGGGTCCTTGCGGCTCTCAGGGCCGCCCTTGGTGCCACCGCTCCCGCTCCCGCTCGCGCCGCCTGCCCCCGGCTGCTTCTCGCACTTGAAGCGCTTCTGGCGGCGCAAGTAGCAGCCGTTCTCGAACATGTTGCCGGAGTCCGGGTGCAGCGTCCAGTAGGAGCCCTTGCCCGGCTTGTCCGGGGATCGCGCCACCTTGACAAAGCAGTCATTGAAGGACAGCGAGTGGCGGATGGAGTTCTGCCAGCGCTGCTGGTTCTGCCGGTAATAGGGAAAGAGGTCCATGATCCACTGGTAGATCTCGCTCAGCGTGAGCATCTTGCTAGGCGCCTGCTGGATGGCCATGGTGATGAGCGAGATGTACGAGTAGGGCGGCTTGGCGTGCGGGTAACTGCGCTTGAACGTCTTGGCGTCGCCGCTGCCGCCCGCGCTCCTGCGGCCCAGGTTGGACGGCGCGTACGCCATGGGGCTCATGCACGGGTTCATGGCAGCCGCGTAGGGGCTCAGGCCGTTCATGGAAGCCGCCGGCTGCGCGCCCATGGCGCCCATGCCGCCGGGGCTCAGCGCTGTCCCCATGGCCGTCACGCCGGCTGCCGTCATGGTGTTCATGGCACCTGCCGAGCCCCCTGCCATGCCGGCTACCGCGCTGGGGCTCAGGCCGGCCCCCAGGCCCGGGTTGGCATAGGACATGTTGAAGGACGCTGGGGTCATGTTGCCGCTCGTGGTCATGGTGTTCATGGTCATGTAGGTGTTCATGGAGTTCATGGAGCCCAGGCCTGAGTTCATGTTGCTGACTGGGACGGAGGAGTAGGCCTGGAGCGGAGACAGCGAGTGAAGAGGCCCCGGAGGGCGGGGTTAGTGGTGGGCGCCGGAGGGCTGCCGCCCGGAGCGAACCCGGGAGCAAGTGCAGAGCATTTCTGCAGAACACGAGACACTCCCAACCGGGGCAAACGGCTAGGCGCCCTCCCCAGACTAAGCAAAGACGTCTTGCACGGCAGGGGGAAAATCCTAGCACGGCAGGCATGAAAAGATAAGCGCAAAAACAGAAAATATGTCCCCAGGAAGATGTGTAATCGCCTTACAAGCCAGGCTCAGGGGCTGGCTTCCAGGGCCCCTTCATTACCTCCTCCATCCGCACCTGGCGGTATCCCAAGTCTCCACTTCAACCAGCCTCAGCAAAGCGCTCTTTGGGGAAAATCGTCTTTAAAACTCCAAAAATAGAATTAATCTCGGACCCTCTGCTTATTCACTTCACCCTTAGGGTGCAATGAGTTCCATGTCACAAGCCCGCTGGGGTGGACCACAGGGAACCACCAGCTCCACACCCTCTTCGCCTGAGTCTGTAGGCCTGGCTGACCACGCAGCGGTTTCGGTTTTTCTAGGAGGCTGTTAATGAAACTCCCTGATAGTGCAAATCATCTATGGACTGGGGACTCCTGAAACATTTATTTCCCGACAACTGGCTTTACTGTCCTAGGATTTTATTGCCTTTGGTGACTTTTTGTTGTTTATCATATTTAGAAGCAGTGTTTTCTACCTACCTGTAGCAACTATAATGTTAAAAGGGAAGCAAACTCAGAAATTAAATAAGTTTTGGAAAAATAAAACTAAAAACAGATCCATAACAGAAAGGGCTGGGAGGGGGTGCCATAATAATCTCAATGTGCTATATACTTTTGATTTTAACGTGGCTTTACATGTACACCGCTGCAAGCTATTCAGAAACTTGCATTAATTTTGTCACCACTTCACAGTCCCCTGTTTGAAAAATTTGGTGACACAGTTTGTCAAAACAAATCATTTTTTCCCCATAATGATATATTGCTGATGATGATTTCAATGCCTGGCTTTTGAAACTCCGTGAGTAGTCTTGAATAATTTAAAATTCTAAAATCAAATTCTACTTATTTTCTCTTAATGCTATTGTATTTACTAATTCTCAGATTTAACATGTAAGAAAGCACTTTTCTATAGGGGTCTTGATAGAATGGCGGGGTCGAGATGACTGCATCAGAATTAAACCTCTGGAAGACCTCTGAGCTCCTTTTAAAATCATCAAGAAGCGAAAATCCTTATCCATAGCAATGTGGGGAAGCATTAGGTACAGTATTTAAAAATACAGAACCTAGGGATGTTAAAAAGTACTCCTCTAATAATTTAATAAGGAATAATTACGTCCTTAAGTTTATTTTCATCAGCAAATATGAGTCCATCTGAAAACAAGAGAACAAATAGATTTAAATAGGAACACCCACTAAACTATGGTATGCAAATAAACTCAGAGGTAAACTTGTGAATATATGAATCTAAACACATTAGTTACCATCAAAATATTACCTGATTCTATATTTTCCTGTCCACGTCTTAGAAGTATTTTTTACCTTGGGGTTTTATTTTCTTTCTCTCTTCCCAAAATTATCCCAGGCAGTTCCAATACGCATTTCCAATAATGGCAATTAAACTTTTGGGGGTTAATAGCCAGCTGTTCCCAGAAAACTACTTTTAATAGGTGGCAGTTCTGCCTGTACCTGGTTTTCCCTGTAATCCTTTTATGCACATTGTAAAATAAACCCCAAGAACGTGCCACTAAGGGGACAATGAAGAGAAACAGGTTCTGGGCCCAGAGTTCTGAGAGAAGATTCTGGTCGTACTAGCGCCACCCAGCGGTTTTAGAGAAGAAGGAACACACTTCTCCCCAAACAGGGCTTTTGAAGAACAAGTTTTACGAAATTTAGAAATCGTTTCATTATTGAGACACTCAACTTGGCGGCAGGGCGCTTTAATTAGAAGAGGTCTGCGAATTAAACAGCGGGAGGAAGAAGTCTCCTTGCGGGCGTGC